GACTGGATGGCCCTTGTGGTCTCTTCCAACTCTATGATTCTAAGGGAAGACAATCACATACCCCCTCTGGAAGCCCAGTGCCAAGAAAGCCCTAATAATAATAATAATAAATTAAGGCAGGGCACAACATAGATTAAAACACATTAAATCAGTTAAATACGTTAAGTTAAAACAACTAAACATAGGACACATTAAAATTCATCCAGCAAAATTATCCAAAATTAAAATATTCCAATTTAAAATTCATAATTTAAAATCAGCTGGGTAGGCCTGCTGGAAGAGATAAGCCTTTAATACTGTTTTAAATTCGCACAGCATGTTTAGCTGTGGAATCTCTCCTGGCAGGTCATTCCACCAGTCTAGGGGCAGTTGATGAAAATATTCTCTGGGTGACAGTTGCCAGACTAGTCTCCCAGAGGACTTAAGTATACAGGGCAGATTCTGTAGGAGGAGGTGATCTCATAGGTAGCCCGGACCCAAACCATGTAGGGGTTTCAAGGTTTTGTACTTTGCCCAAAAACTAACTGGCAGCCAGTGGAGTGATTTTAATATTGCTCTGATATAGGCTGCATTTGCACTGCAGAAATAATCTGGTTTGATACCCCTTTTACTGCCATGGCTCAATGCTATGGAATTCTGGGATTTATAGTTTGTCATGGTGAGAGGGAAGTAGTATTAGACCCCCTTGGAAATAGTTAGTTTTGGGGCCCGACTGGATGATCACCTAGGGCTCCCTTGTGATGCTGAAGGATGGGTTACCAGGAAGCTCTTAGCTAGGTTAGAGAAGTATGCAGCAACCAGCGGGTGGGGCTAGGTGACCTGATGTAAGTTATAGAACCGGGTGTAAAAATAACCATATGTTGAGAAATTCACTTAGCTTATAAGCCTCTAAAAGTTTGTACATTTATTGTTACTGGCACTAGCTAAACTGCAAGGTTGCAGAACAGCTTAAAGAGCTCAAAAAATTCCTAACTGTAGAGTTCTGCCAATGTGCAGTTTGCAAAGTATGTAACCACATAAAGCTAGATAAGATACAGAAGGGGGAGGCTAGGAGTTTCTGTCCTTGTAACTTGTAAGTTTCTATTTCTCCATAATCAGGGTAAGTTTATGTTCTTGTAAGTTTCTATTTCTCCATAATCAGGTGGGCCACAGAAAGGGACATTTGCACATGTCTGCTGAATGGTTAAAGCACTTGTATAAAGGTTTTGGAGAACAATAGCTGACACGGCAGCTCTGTTGCACCTAAAGGGTGTGCTGTCATCTCGGCCGAATAAACTGAGTTTTGTTTTGGAACCAAAGTCTGAACTCTTCGCCGTTTCTCCAGCCCTCACTCTAAGCCCAAATGTGAGGAACTATCTAATAGTTCCCTAACATTTTCTGGGGGGTCATCCGGGATGTGAGTGATGAGGTTGGAGTTTGACTGGGAGTAAATGTTTGGGCTCCTTGACGATCCATGATTGCAGGAATCGACAGTGACCGACATACGATGAGAGAGGGCCCTCGACTAAGACCGTTGGTGTTGTTCATGCCGGTTCAAGTGATCATCGAAGTCATTGCCAGACGCAGTTGGCCAAAACAACCTCAGAGGGGATCTGGACATCCGGCAGGAATAAGGCAAGTATGGTAACTTAAAAAAGATACAAAGGGTGGGGGAGGTAGATGTCTTGTATGAATGGTGGAGGAGTGGCAGGCCAGTTCCCTGGTCTTACCCTTGAGTTATGGGTGAGAAGGGCGACAGCGAGTGAAATTCCACAGGTCAACCCCCCCCCCCATTTCCAGCGGTTGACTTGATCCCCGTCTACCCTTTGTTTATCCGGACAGGAAATTGTGGGAAATAATACAGCTGTTTAAGTCAGACTAGTGAGGGTGCCCCAAGAACTAGATCCACAATAGGTTCAGGACAATCGAAGGGTTTGACCCCTTTAGATTGTATGTTACACAATTGGAAGGAATATAAGATATATATATCTGCAGGAAGTAGTGGGAAATAATACAGCTGTTTAAGTCGGACTAGTGAGGGTGCCCCAAGAACTAGATCCGCAATGGGTTCAGGACAATTGAAGGGTTTGACCCCTTTAGATTGAATGTTACACAATTGGAAGGAATATAAGATATATATATCTGCAGGAAGTAGAAAATCAGGAAAATTAAGGAAATTTTGTGAAATAGATTGACCAGGATATCCTATTCCGGGAACAAAATGACCAGCCATAGGCACCTTAGATAAGACAGTCATCAATAAGGTTGCCGATTTTGCTGCCAGACATCATCCGGACCATTACTATTATAAAGCTGCATGGCAAACAGTGGTTGAGAAAAATCTAGATTGGTTAAAGGATTGTAGGTGTATGGTGGTCCGAGTGCCTAAGTTATTCAAATCTAAGAATCCCTTCTTGGCGAATTCGAGTAGTCCTGAAGATGAGCCATTCATGGCATCTGCTCCACCTCCATATATATCTCACATGTATCCACATTTAGATACACAAACACCACCAACACCATCACTTAGTGAGCCTAGTGAACTAGAAACTCCACCTAAAGGACAATATAAAGACAAACTGAGATCAGGAACACAGCCTAAAGAGGACTCACTTTATCCACTCAGACTAGTAAATCAAGTTGTTCCGGATGGGAACGGGTCTTATCAGATAGAGGGGATATATGAACATGTGCCTTTCACCAGTAGTGACTTGTTAAACTGGAAAGCCTCAACAGCCCCATGGATCTGTTGATCCAGCAGGAATGGCTAACTTAGTGGAAGGAATCATGGGGACTCATTTTCCAAATTGGATAGATTGCCAACAATTACTAAATATCCTGTTGACAGCGGAAGAAAAGACCTTAGTTTTAAATAATGTGAGAGATGCAGCCATAGAAGAACATGGAGGGGGTGGGAGACCTCTGCTCTAGTGCCACCACAAACTACAAATCCCAGAATTCTATAGTATTGAGCCACAGCAGTTAAAGGGATGTCAAACCAGGTTATTTCTGCAGTGCAGATGCAGCCATACTCTTCTAGATGTACTAGTAAGCAATCTGGCTGGTCATTATGAGTGGGGGCAAACATGAAGGCATACAACAAACAACAACAAATCTCATCTGCAGTTCAGGAGGAAATGATGTACAGCTGGCCCTCCATAGCCACCGATTCAACCATCCATGGCTTGAAAATATTCTAAGAAGAAAAA